TATTTGATTAAAAGGCAAATGATAGAGAAGTTTTGCACCAACTAAGTTGATAGGGACCTTTTTTTTTTTTTTTTGGCAATAAAGCAAATGATAGGGATGTTTTGCATTAATTACCAATATTTGATTGAAGGAATTGATGGAATGAGATGGAAATGACCAATTACACAAGAAACAAAAAAGACATTGATCATCTGTCTACGTTGAAATGTCTTAATTTAATTATGACTGAATTGAAAAGAAACAATGAGTTTTATTTGAAAATTTCCAGTCTTTTTTGTTGTCGACTTTTCGAAAAATGATGCAGAATAATTCAACAAGTTAACGGTGTNAATTGAAAAGAAACAATGAGTTTTATGTGAATAATTCCAGTCTTTTTCGTTGTCGACTTTTCGAAAAATGATCCAGAATTATTCAACAAGTTAACGGTGTTGCGAGCACCTGTTTTGCAATAACAATTAATAATAATTTGACATCTAAATATAACAATTCTATGAGACTCAAACAAAAATATCAGAATAACCTACAATGTACACGTAAACAAAAATGGAGTGAAACCCCTAGTTGCTTTATTTTCTTTTTGTTTATTTAAGTTAAATGATAAGATGTTTAATTTGTCCTCTCGATTCAACACACTTTCACTATTAGTGGGTGTTTGGTGATGATTAAAATTGAATTTTTAGTATATTGTGATAGAAATTTTCGAAATGTGTGGTTCAAAAGTTATGGAACCCATGAAAGATGTGGTTAATATTGATTATTTGACTTTAATTTAGATTAAAATTTAATTTTAATCCGAAACAAACACGGCCGTAATATTTAATAGTGTCATAATAGATACTATACTATTAAGTATATTTCTTGTATGTATGCCTCTTTTACTTGTGGTACTACCTCTCCTCTATTATTTTTGGAACCATAAATTACACTTTTGTGATCATTAAGCATTTGCATAATGGAGGACTATATTGGAAATAAACCAAAAAGTTTTTTCAAGATGGAGGACGACACAGATCCCACCCCGAAGAACTTTCGCACTTGATGCACATTACAGACAAAACTTATGTGTGTCAATTCCATCTTTAATACTATTGCAAGGAATCTTTTATTGGAGCCACCTTCACCACGACAGAGACAGATTCCTCCACGTACGTATTTAAAAATCTTTTTATGAATATTGTTGGTATGGAATGAGTTTGCTAATTAATAAAATCTCTGAGGTGCCGCCCTCCTTCCACACAAAAAAAATATATGCTACATGATAAGTATGTTTTAACACACTTATTTAATACTCAAATATACTTATTATTGGTAAAAATGAACGAATTTCTACTCACAATTATGTAATTGTTGCTTTTGTAGGTAAAAATCACCCAAATGAATAATTCAACAAGTTAACGGTGT